TGCTTTGCTTTTTCGCTTTTCCGACGTTGATACTTTTTTCGCTTTTTTCGCGTTTTTCGCGAAGCTAAAATATGCTACGGTCTGGATGACATAAATTTACCAAAGAAGATAAAAAAATATCATTTTCCAAGGTTGTGCTTCATCGAGGCGAGATGAAGCGCAACCCAGCGTTTGGGGGCGCAACCAAGCTCATGTTTGTGCGATAAATGACTTTGGTTGTGCTCCCAAGCACTTGGTTGTGCTTCATCGAGGCGAGATAAAGCGCAACCCCGAAAAAATGATGTTTTCTGTTCTTTGGTAAATTCTAGTGAGATAGGTGCCATACGAATGATAGTAGTAGTAGTCGTAGTCGTAGTCGTAGTCGTCGTCGTAGTAGTAGTAGTCGTAGTAGTAGTAGTAGTAGTAGTAGTAGTACTACGGCCAGGACGGATGTGCTGCCCGGGAAAGTAGGTTTTGACTGCGCAGGGCCAATGTTTTGTGAGATTCCCCGTGTCGTTCGTTTGGGCAAACGGATGACGAATTTTTCCCTCATTTCATCAACATCATCATCATCATCAGCATCATCAGCAACAACATCAACATCATCAACATCATCAACATCCCAATTGACTGTAAAGTTTAACGGGGGTGGGAGTTTACTATTCCCTAATACCCTTGTTGATCTTCCCAATTGAATGCAAAGTTTAACGGGGATGGGAGTCTAATATTCCCTAATACCCTTGTTGATCTTCCCAATTGAATGTAAAGTTTAACGGGGGTGGGAGTTTAATATACCCTAATACATTTGTTGATCTTCCCAATTGAATGCAAAGTTTTACGGGGGTGGGAGTTTAATATTCCCTAATACCCTTGTTGATCTTCCCAATTCAATGTAAAGTTTAACCGGGGTGGGAGTTTAATATTCCCTAATACCCTTGTTAGTGGGAGAACCTCCACAGAGTCAACCCCTAACTTGGTTGACCCTCTGGAGGCCCCTCCACCGGGTCCACGTATTCGGAGTTCGGAACGTACTTGTACAGAACAAAAAACGTTACTTTATGTATACTTAGTAGAAATCACAAGATCAACAACTAACCAAAAACATTAGTTTCTGTGGACCCGGTTGGACTTTATGTAAACTTGCTAGAAATCACAAAGTCAACAACTAACCAAAAACAATAGTTTCTGTGGACCCGGTGGGAGAGCCTCCACAGAGTCAACCCCTCACTTGGTTGACCCTCTGGAGGCCCCTCCACCGGGCCCACCTATTCGGAGTTCGGAACGTAATTCTACAGAACAAAAAACGATATTTTATGTATACTTAGTAGAAATCACAAGGTCAACAGCTAACCAAAAACATTAGTTTCTGTGGACCCGGTTGGACTTTATGTAAACTTGCTAGAAATCACAAAGTCAACAACTAACCAAAAACAATAGTTTCTGTGGACCCGGTGGGAGAGCCTCCACAGAGTCAACCCCTCACTTGATTGACCCTCTGGAGGCCCCTCCACCGGGCCCACCTATTCGGAGTTCGGAACGTAATTGTACAGAACAAAAAACGATATTTTATGTATACTTAGTAGAAATCACAAGGTCAACAACTAACCAAAAACATTAGTTTCTGTGGACCCGGTTGGACTTTATGTAAACTTGCTAGAAATCACAAAGTCAACAGCTAACCAAAAACAATAGTTTCTGTGGACCCGGTGGGAGAGCCTCCACAGAGTCAACCCCTCACTTGGTTGACCCTTTGGAGGCCCCTCCACCGGGCCCACGTATTCGGAGTTCGGAACGTCATTGTACAGAACAAAAAACGATATTTTATGTATACTTAGTAGAAATCACAAGGTCAACAACTAACCAAAA